AACGGTTGCACATTTTACGAACCTAATTTTTTTTACCCTACCACAGATGAATAATACGGTGGCACGTGCAACCTAACCACCCCTCTGGGTCTGTTTATGTCGAGAAGTGAAGAAAAAGTAGTAAGTAGAGATTTAATCCTGATTTTAGACTCTTGACATCATTTTTTATCAATGGTTCTTCTTTCTTTTTTAGTTTTGTTACTTTATATGAATTTAATTTGTTTTACGGTATTATTCAAAACACTAACACACATAAGTTTGGTGGTGTATATATGTGTGTGTATATGTATGTATGTATGTATGCCGCCTTAGGGCACGATTTGAAAAACGCCATGCATGTCCTCGAGCAACTCGTAAGGCTTGAGGCTTGACCTTAATGGCATGCCACGCTTCACATATTTGGAACCTTGATAGTTAGGCCGAAAAAAATTGTGAGAAAAGAATGGGGGATATCTTGTTTCGTTAGGAACATTAGATACTAATTAGAAAAGAGTAGGATTAAATATTTAGACGTTCTTGAAAGGTAATATTATTTAAAACAAAAAGTGTCATTAATTAGTAGATATTTTGTTCTATAAAGAGAGCATTCATGGAAGATAAATCGACGTTGATGGAAGGAATGGAGATAATAAAGAAGGAAATGTGAAGGGACGTCCCGTGGCAGGCAAAGAATATGCTAATTATCTCTAGTAGCAGTACGTCCCAATTAAACATTCCTCACAAGATATTATATATAGGCTTCATGTATTATTTATCAAGGATTATGATGCTAAACCAACAAGGGATTGGTTTCCGGTGGTGGCGTCAACCAATATTAATTGTGTTTATATAAGTAATTGAAAATATTTCATGGTTTTTATGCACGGGTATATATATGTTATACACATGTGCATACCGTATAAATGAGTGATAGGGTGTATTCAGTTTTTCATTTTTTGCGGTTTTCTCCGGAACCTGACCTTACACACACACATACACACACACACATATGTGTATATATATATATATATAGGGTTGGCTTCACGTGAGACCAGACTGTTTTCGTGAGACTCGTGAGACCATTTTTTTACACTTGAAACTTCACAACAAAACACTGTAAAGATAAAAAAAATCCGAACCTTCACAGCAAAAACAATATGAAGGTTACCTTGTACAGTGTTTTACTGTGAAGTTTCAAGTGCAAAAAAGTGGTCTTACGGGTCTCACGAAAACACACACACACACACACACACACACACACACACATATATATATATATATATATATATATATATATATAGGGGAGCGATCAAATGCAAACCACTCAATTTGTACAAACCGTGCAAACCGCATTCAACCAATCATAATTTTTCATTTTGTTCATTTTTTTTGTAATTATGAGAGATTGATTAATCATTTTCATTATGGAGGGTGTTAATCATAGATATTATCATCTTCATTATTTTAATTTTAGAGAAATACATGAAACAGTTTCATTAATGTTAGATAAATACATGAAACAGTTACATTAAGTATCATATGAAACAATTTCACAAGATTAAACAATTTCATGAAAAAATTTCATAAGATTAAACAATGAAATCGACAAATTAATGAAGGTGGTTTGCACGGTTTACACAAATGAGGGCGGTTTTCATATGATCACTCCTCTATATATATATATATATATATATATATATATATATATATATATATATATATATATATAGGGAGGTTCGGGTGAAAACCCCCCAAAAAAAGAAAAACTGAGAAACATCCTGATAATCATTCATCTGAACGGTATGTACATGTGCATACAAATAATTGAAATTATTTGTTGGGTTTTGTGCACGTGTGCATGTTATGCATATGTACATACTGGAAAAATTACTTACAAATTACTTGTATACACATATACATACCGTCCAGATAAACAGTTATTACGTTCCTTAGTTTTATATTTTTTTGAGGTTTTTCCATTAGACAAATCTCTCATTCACTCTAAGGTTCATTCGTTTAATTTGACGAATTTTCTCTTTTTAAAATCTTTTTTCTTAATTGGTCATCTTCGTTTAACTTAGAGCATTAACGTGTTCTGATCTTATTAGAACTTTTGACGTAACTTAAGGTGCCTCTTTACCCTTGTTACAACGAATTCACTTTTGTCCCTATACTGAAGTTTATCAATGTCTAGAACCGTTTTGTCATTATCTCAAAAAAGCCAATAATTATGACGTATTAATTAGCATGCATGTATCAAGTGAAATTAGGAAAAAATCAAGCATCAACATCGTTTAATTAATTGATGGAAAGAAAGAAAGAAAACGAAGTTGTAGGTTGCAAAATGAGATGACGAGGACCACCACAAAGAAAGTACATGAAAACATCCAAGTGGTTCAAGGCAAGGAATTATGACGTACATGCTTGTTCCTCGCCTTTTTCAAAGCCTTTATCAGACATAAAAAAGACCCTCAATAAGTATAAAAAATATTTAATATAGCGTTTTTATCAATACAAGTAACATCGAATTCTACGATACTATTAGTTCATATAAAACCGTTTTTTCGCATATTATTATATATAAAATCAATCGATAAATATTTTTAAACTAGCATTGTCAATCCGTTTCACTGTCAAAAACATCTTATGATATAGTTATAATACATAGATTCGTGATGTCATTTGAGGTCACAATGTTGACTGCTCTAAGCAATACTCCATGTAAATCAATATAGATCAATTATGTTTCCATCTCACAGAGTAAAGTTTTTCGTCACCGTTCTAATATTTTAAGGTTAAAACACACTTTTTAACCATCAATTTTAGAACCAAAAGGTCATCTTAGTTATAACTTGTGATCTTAATATTCTTGTTTTGGAGATATGAAGGTACTTGAAATTCATCTGATATTATTAGGTAATAAAGAGTCAATAATATATCAAAAACAAGGGTCTTAAAATTCTAAAATATAGATATAAGTTGGAACATCTTATATAGTTGGTAATTTTTTCCCTAAAACTTAAAAAGAAGAGAGATTTCTTAAAAACAAAAAATATGTTCTATTGCAAAAATTGAATTCATGCGGATGAAAAAATCAAAAGGGCTTGTGGGAGATGAATGATAGATAATATATCAAGATTTTATAGACAAATAGTTTAAGATAAAAGACTTAGAGAGACATAAGCAAGACTATAAAATGAACGACCAATTAACTTTTTAGTTTTTACATATTTTTTTACTGTGTAATTAATTAATACATATTTTGCTCTTAATATAATACAAAATTCTTTTTTGGTCCTATTAAATATTATAAAAATTATCTATTTTATTTACTAAATCTTTTGACTACCACTATAAAGCTATATTTTAAAAAAATTGTCGGACCCTTATTTTTTTGTGGGTCTTGGGCATACGCCCGGTCTACCCTCTCCCAAGGAGGGATAGCCTTGATGGCGTAAGATTCGAGACAATAACAAAAACAAAAACAAAACATAACAAAAAAAAAAAGTAAACATGAAGCTAATTATCCATCTCTATCTTTTCATCGATATCAAATTTCGTAGCGGTTTTGTAGAGGAGAAATTAAGATGGTTGTGCTCATAATCATTGGTTCATCATTTTTGTTTTTTCTCTATTTTGAAATGTATGTGATATTTAAAGATTATCTGCAAATTACAATAGAATGAATTAAACTAAACTTTTGTAATATGTTTATTAATCTATTCATAATAATTCAAGACTCATGCATATGAATGAATCAAACTCCTTAGAGTCTAAAAAAGTATCAACTACAAAAACATAGTAAATGAAATTTATTTTGGAGGCTTTTGTAAAGGCAGCGTGGTAAAAATACAGAGCTACTAAGAGGATGTTGTGATATAAAAAAGAAGGACCTATTGAAATTGAATATTAACAATCAAACTAGCTATGTTGTATAAGTATGAGTGTTGGGTCATAAGGAAGGCGAAGCATGAAAGGAAGTTGGAAGTTGCAGAAATGAGGATGCTTAGATGCATGGACCTTTGATCAGATCATGTTATTAGATAGGATATCAAACGAAGTCTTCAATCACCGATAAATGGAGAGAGGGAATTGAAGACTATTGTGGTAGTTTGAATATGTTCGTAGGAGACCGATGGTTGTACCAATGTGAAGGGTGCAAAGCATAATGGCTTGGGGGTAAAGAGGAGGCTTAGGCCAAGAAGGATGTAAGATGAGCATATAACGGACATGGTAGTTTGAGACATGAGGCGTTTCAGAACACATAATATATGAGATTATACATATAAGAGATCTTAACTGTGTAGAGATTTGTTGCTAATGTGGATCTTCGGTAGATGGGAGTTGGAGAGTTGTTACTTGTTATGTCGGTTATAAATACTAAAAAATAGAAAGGAATTGGAGGAGTCTAAAAAAACTACATGTTTTGAAAAAAGAACCATGCACCTGCTTTTTCATGTCTATATGACATTAGTCAACCATTGTCCGAAGATGGATTATACATGTAGTATCTCAACCATAGAATTGACGTAAGCCAACGATTATGCAGGTTCCCTTTTACCATATTTTTCTACAACGATGATCTTATGAATTGTGAAAGCTTAACAATCACGACTCTTTGAAAGGATACATTATCACATACATCTTGAAAATGGTTTATCTTTTTGCCGACTCCAAGAATAAACTACATGACTATATATAATCATTTTCCTAAACATAACCAAATTTGAATCCAACATGGTACAAAGATTATCTAAAAAATAAATAAATGCTTATGGGGCATGCTTAATTACCTTCTTGCAAAAATATTTACCACATTAATAATTAATTGAAGAAAAAATGGAATGTTAAAAGTAAAATAGATATGTTCTAATAAATGTAGCGAAAGCTATCATGTCATATATGGGTGGGCTCCGCCATATGACGCCATATATTTAAAAAAAAAAAAGTAAAATAAAATCATCAACTTTTCCATCTATAAATACAACCTGAATTACAAGTCTTCAATCCACTCATTCCCCGGCCGATAATTAAACCACCTTAAACATCTTCCATTTCTCTTCAAATCCTAATTACCTTCAATCACAAATGACCGCACAAGCAGCTTCTTCAATGGCTCCCTCGTCGTCGCAGGAGCCTTTTCAACGATCACCATGGCACTCACCGGTGCCGTATCTCTTTGGAGGCCTTGCAGCCATGCTGGGACTCATTGCTTTTGCTCTCTTAATCCTCGCCTGCTCCTACTGGAAACTCTCCGGTGACATGGACAACAGCGGTGAGGGAGAGAGAGACCTTGAAGCCGGCGACTCGAAACCCAATGATCACGACAAGGATCCACCTGTTTTGGAAGAGAAATATCTGGTAATCATGGCGGGACAAGCAAAACCAACGTTTTTGGCAACGCCTGTTTCGAGCAGAGCGTCATCTTTTGGTAGTTGTAGTTCTCGGGACGACTCAACATCGTCGACTGAAAAATCATCACCGTCGGAGGAGAAGGAGAAGGAGAAGCAAGGAATGAACACGGAAAACCAGGAGACGGCAGACCAGGTCCCTTAGTATTTCGGAAATAGAATGCAATTTTTTTCCCTCTCTTCCAAATATTCTTGGAGTAACAAGTGAAGCAACCCCATGTGGTAGTGATTGTGGGCTGCAAACTTGAGTTGGAGGGTTTACATTGGTACTGATCAGAGGGCATTACGTCCTTTTTTCTAAAGACCCCAAGTGGGGGAGAACCCTCATCGTCCCTATAATTTTACGACAATATCAAAACATGGGACTCAACTACGCTTGGTGTGAGTTTTGACAACTAAAACAAACTAACCAGCACTGTCTCCTTTGTTTGTTATGTTCATATATAAAAACTTCAGATGAAAATCGATGTGGAAATTAAGAACAATACGATATCGATAGAGGTGTTTGGCATTTCTTCATCTATAATGGTTATTTTAATATAAATTGTGACATATAGTTATCATAAAAGTAGTTTAATCTATGTTAAAACTGGTCAAGTAATATTTTTGCTTGAAAACCAAATCACTAGATGAAGTGAACAACGTTTGAAACTATATATAAGGTAAGGTATAATGGCTACGATCCGCACTACATTCACTTCATGTTTCCAACAGATTTTCTCATCTTCCTTCTTGACAGTCAGGGACAAAAGTCAAACACACACAGATAGAAAGGGTGAGAGCAAGATACCCATCATAGATAGGGAAGACATAATTAGTACCTTATAATATTGAAACAAAAATCTATCTATATATAATAATTAGTATGTTCAGCTGTGATCTGAATCCAATAAGCTCGTAAGGAATTACAAAGACTACTGGAGTACCAGATGGATAATATGAAGGAAAAATGCAAGGCATGCATCTATGCTTCAAAATGAGTTATCCGCATTCATGGAGCCCTCTCCAGTCCCTACCCAAGCTTCAGACAAAAGACACTCCTTCAAAACAGAAAAATAAAGTAATGGTGTTCAGTAGTTAATTAGCTGGTTTGGGTTTGCACCAGATAATTAAGTTGAGCAAATTAAACTTGAATTATGCCAAAGAATCAACAAAGCAACACAAGGTAGATTCTAGCTTTCATCCTGATCTGGAGTGTTGATTTAGTTTTGTTATCGGCATATTTTTCCCATTTTCGAACTTTTTCTGCGATTGAAATTAATAAATTAATCAAATTGATATTATTTGTCTTCTTTAATTACCCAAAATTCAAGAAAAATATATGAATATTATAATATATATTGTATGGTGAGTCAGGTAGCCACAACAATCAATAATGACCATATTTTACTTCGAACTGATTGGATTTTCACTTTTAACTAAAGAGTAAAGATGCATATCTTACCCCCTTTGTATAGTATTTAATACGTTTCCCACTTGTAAAATCGGAAGCAATGGTGAAGCAAAGTAGAAATGATCGAAGGTGGAAAGGAAAGGAAACATGACATGCTAGTGATGGATAAAGTACTGGGGACACGCAAATAATTTAATAAAAGTTATGTAGGGAAAAGTGAACGAGGGTGCATCATATATTTAGAAAATCTCTCAATGAAAATTTTGAAATCCGTACGTTGATTCATTAAACAGTATATGGTTCAATATCATATAACATCTAAATCGTTTTCTTGAAGTTTCACCTACTTTGATAATAATAATAATAATAATAATAATAATAGGCAAGAGGGGCACATCGTGTTTTGGTGAAAAATAAAGTCACTACCAAAATGGAAAGTAATAATATATATATATATATATATATATTATATACATATACATATATATATATATATATATATATATAGTTGGGTTCACGTGAGATCCACCTATTTTCGTGAGACCACTTTTTTACACTTGAAATTTCACAGCAAAACGCTGTGAAGGTAAAAAAAAGCTAAACCTTCACGGGTCTCACGAAGACAAGCTGATCTCACGTGATCCCAAGTGTGTGTGTGTGTATATATATATATATATATAATATGTGTGTGTGTGTGTGTATAGGGAAGGGTTCAAACGAAAACACTTTAATTTTACGAGAAMGTGAGAACACCCTTTTACTATAGACAATTACATGTGATACTATTATTCTATCACATATGATACACATGTGATAATAAATCAAAGATATGCGAGCGATTTTTGATACGATCTTGGTTGCAGGCCAAGTCGCCCTTACACCACTAAGCCCTCTCACAAGTATTATCACATGTGATAAGGTTGTTGTTGATATGATACTATAATCCATAAACGCAGACAATCTTTGGCGCGACCTAAGTCGTAGAACACGTCGTCCACACATCACATGGTCACCTCACACGTATTATCACATGTGATAAAGGTGTTATCACGTTCTCGTAAAATGGAAGTGTTCTCATTTGAACTCCAATATATATATATATATATATATATATATATTAATTCATTTTTTACGAATATAAGTTAGCAATCTTTGATGAGCACTTCCAAGTAATTTTTCTATAGTTTTTTAACAATGATCTTTTTGATAACCATTTGAAGCAATTTTTTAACATGGACTTTTGATTCGTTCTATATTATCATGTGGCTTTTTCAACTAATTTTCAGCAAACATCAAGAATTCACAATTGAATCAACTAACAGTTTTTCACTAACTTCTCAAATACATATAGTATTAAAGTTATAAAGAGGTATCTTGGGGTAGATGAAGTGGTAGGGTAAAGGTACTATCTTTTATTGCACCCCAGCATTGTTGGATTGTACAATATATAATGTGTCGACCCAATAGGAAGCATTCTGCTTTGTACATCCTTTTCATTTACCACTCTCGATCCATTTCAATAGTTTCTTGAAGAGTGCATGCATGTTCTCTGGTAACCCAGCTCCATCTCTTTAACTCCTGAAAGGTCACTTTCCTCTAGATAAGTTTACATCTTAACACTTTTATCTTGTCCAGTAAATTTCACCTTGACTCAACAGAATTGGTATTTTAAACTTGTTCCTATTTGAACTCGCTTTTTACTAATTCTTTCCCATATGTTACTTTGGCAGCATTAGGCTTAATTTGAAGGTTAATTAACGTGCTGATCATACCAAATAAATTGTCGTTAAGTTGACTATAAATTTAGGAATAAAAGATCGGTTTTCTTAGTTAATTATCTCAACGAAAGTGGAGCATGTTTAAGAAATCTTTGTTATAATCAAGCTTAAATTGTGAAAATTTAAGTTAGCTTGTTTGGTCCTATCTTACGTGACTGTTAATTAATTAATATCAAATTAAATATATTATATGTTGAAAAAATTCATAAACTTCCTTTATTATTAAATAACATTAATTGTTGAAACATATCTAGTTTCCCAATACATGCATGGTTGAATTACAAACATATATCCTGTCAAATTAAATAATAACAAAGTAGAAATACATAAATTGCAACATGAAATCATCTATTCCATCCAGGAAGGTATGCAATTGGATGTGGGGGAGAGAGAGAGATGAAAAGTTGGACCCCCAACAGATAGAATGTATTCTTCCATCAAAGTCACTCAAATGACAAGTGACCAAGTGAGTGTATATATATTATGTTGGATTTTAGTGAGAAAGAGAGTTGAGGTAAGAGGTATAAGAAATTTTTGAAAGAGAGTTGAGGTAAGAGGTATAAGAAATTTTTGATGTATTATTTTTTATTTATCAAACCGCAAAATTAAAGGAAAACAAGAAGAAAGATCGGAAAGTATTATTCTTTATTTATCAAGCAGTGTGTAACATCGCGGTTACACTAAAATAAAAATACAAATTGTCAGGAATATTTAACCGATCAAAAAAAAAAAAAAAATTCACTCGAATCCAAGATGGGATACGATTTCTAATTATCCACCAAAAGTTAAGTTTAGTTTGGCCGGTAAGTCAAACATCCCTCGAAAATAGTTTAAACAACTTACAAACGAAGACTTTTACAAACCAAAAGTCGAGACAATAGTATAACTACCCAACATACGAGTAATAATTACAAACCTGAAACATCAAAAACATACGAAACATGTACCAAAAGTTACTTCCAAATCTTCTATGTGTCAACCGAAAGCTAACCCACCTTGCCTTTATCTCGACCCGTATTGATTTTTTCTGAGATTTTTAAACTTAAGGGGGTAAGCGAATCGCTTAGTGAGTATATATCAAAGCATAAAATTAGATGTAATATACATATCTTAACAAAAGAATTAGGAGGCAAAACCGATTAATCTCTAGCTTTCAAATTTTGCGGAACATATCACATATAGAGTTAACAAAACCATAACGACTCACTGATCCTTAATACGTCAAATGAACACTTACTGATTCATAATTAAACCATAAATGAGTACATAACATACCTTACAAATTTGTAATTAAAAATTGGAATCAACGGGTTACATGTATGATTTCGATACCGGATCAAATCAACGTATCAAGAAGCCATACAACTCACAAAGTACTTAGCGTCAATGAAACCATATCGATCGTAATAATTCAGTAGCATGATCAACAAGAGTAGAGTAAATATGTGCACCACACCCCTTCTTCATCTGTTGGGCCCGTGCAAAGTATTCACACCCTACTCCTTACCATTCGAGATACGTGAGTACGACAACCAGTATGTCATACCCAACCTCCCTCTCCTTGGGATACATGGACATACACCACGCTACGACATATCACACAAAGTAATACCCGTAGATCATGGTTTACCTATAGACAAAAAGAAGGTCTCGAATCCAGACTCGACCGACATCTCGGAATGAACAACAATACCAATTCAAGACCATGGGATTCGACATGCTCAAGATATTCGATAACACATGCAAATCAACTATTTTACAGTAAGAAAACATATACATATACTACATATAAGTATAAGTTTGATATAAACTCACAGTGCTTCAATGTAAACAACCGAACGCGGTAACATCCAATTCCAACCAACAATAGCATTAGACCTTTAGAGGCTCTAAATAGCCTTAATATAGCCCCTGGATTAAACATTTCAAGTATCATTAACAAACTATATACCAATCTCAAGTTATACACTTTTAGACCTTGACTATCCTACTTTCAATTCCCCTGTACAACCCTTTGTTCATCCCATGTTTTATCACACTTAGACTCATAATTAGCCAATGACTTATAAAAACTAAATAAAGTATTCTCTTATAGATTTCTAATGCAACACAGCAGCTCAAAGCTGTCAAAATTCAGCTTTACAGCACAGTACATGTTGCAKTTTTTACCCATCTTAACTTCAATTTCACATTTTCATGTCTAAATATGAATTGTAGTTCATTATGTTATCTTTCCATGGACACTGATCTCATATTCATACGATTTTTTTTCAATTTTCTACAAATTTTCAAAATCAGAGCTGTAACCATACTCTTTCAATACCAATACACCCATATAATCCATTATAATGCCCAATTCTCTTGTATTTCAATACCATCTTCTGGTTTTCA